AACCACATCCCTTTCAATGCCCACCTCGACCAAGCTAATGCCAGAGGATTACAATACGTGAAATGTGTTGGCATGCAGTAGCTTGAGGCCATCCGTAGATTGAAGGATTATGGATTCCATCCAGTGAGGACCATTTACTTACCTTTTATCCTCGATGAGGAAATCAGAGGTTATGATTCTTGCCAAGTGAATTTCTTTTATTAGAGTAGATATGCCAAATGAATTTCATTCTTTTCCTCTTCTTTGATTGATATTAATTTAAATATTCAATTGCACTAGTTATTATCTCTTTGATTTTTTATAAAAGATAAAATTTTGAGGCACCAATCATCATTATATATCATCTTGATGGGACTGGGCTGGTGAGCAATTCTTCCTCAACCAGAAATGAATAATGGATTTCTACCTAAAACAAGAAAAAGGAGAGAAAAGAAAAAGAAAATACAGACCGGGACATAACGCAAAAATCTACATAGCCATCTGGAAGTTGTCCTAACATAACCAAATAAGGGATTCTAACCATATGAAAGTTGAAGCATTCACATCATTTTGATACAATAGTTACAAATCAAAGAGCTTCACTTAGGTTCACTCTGCGACTAATCTCTGCAAAGGTCCGTTTGAAAGCTTCTCTGTTGTTGGCGGTGGTGATAGGAAAGTCTCCAAGAAGTCACGCCAGTAGCACAATGGCACTAAAGATGAGGATGAAGAGGGATATCGTAGGGAAAATGTTGTTGAGACCTCGCTCTCTAAGTCTTGGCTAGAGTTGTGGAGAGATGCCAATGGAGAAGCAAGAACGCCTTTCAACCGAAAAGTCTACTGATTTCAATACCCATTTTACAAAAGGGTAAAATGGATATTTTAGAAAAAATATGCATTGATTTAATGTTTTTTGTCAGAAATTTAATGATTGTCAGATTTAGGGGAGATCCCTATTTTAAAGGGAAAATCTATGATACGGTAAAGTAACATTTCCATATCATATCCGATGAATTCAACCAATCAACATTCGACTTGTGTCACATTCGGTGAATAACCTACCGGTTTCAAAAACAACCATAACATAATCACATTTCAAAAGAAAAAAAAGAAAGAAAGATGTTAACGTCTCATTCATTAAAACGTCACTCTCCTCTTTTCTCATTCTCCGTATTCCAACCCCATGCCCGCATGGCTGCATCATTCTCCCATTTCAAAACCAACAACCCCAATGGTTCATATGTTCCTATTTCGATTTCATATTCCTATTCTCACAAATCAAAAGAACTTTGGAAATATTAGAGTACAAAAAAAATTCTTTCTCCTTGTTTTTTTAAAATCAGACTGGACCAGAAAAATTGAGAACCGGTCAAGTAACCGGTTCCATTTTACTCTAGAACCGTTATTTTGCTAAAAACTATTGATTTGGTCTGTAAATTATTATCTCAGGCGATCGAACCGTTTGAACCATCCAATGGTTTTGCCTATTTTTTATATTTTTATTTTATTTTTTATTTTTTTGTCAGAACGGCCGTCCGTTTGGTTCGAACGATCGAATCGTTTAACTTGAGAACTGGACCCCTCTGATCAAATCGTCTGATTCAGTTTTGAAAACCTTGCTTTCACCTACAAATGGAGAATGTGAACTGTTGCAAGCTCAAATTGGGCCAGTGATACCTGGTCAACTGTATCAAACTGAATTGATTATGTCAGTTCTGGTTCCACGAGTTTGTCTCAATTAATAATTAGGCTGGTTCCGGTTCTTGCTTGTCCCAAACTGATTTGAATTTCAGATCCGAGTCAAATGCAATTTTCTAGTAATTGGATCAGATTTGGATTTTGTTGAATTTGATCCAATTACAGCCCTAACTATCCTTCACTTTTACAAACGGACAGTGAATGGATTACCCAAATTGCTTTGACTATGTTTGCTTGTGATGCAAACGCAAATATATACTTTGCATAAATACCCCATTTTCGATTCAAGAATGCAAAGTGAGTCCATAATGTAATTCATTTTTTTGTGTTATTCATGTTTATTTGAAATTAGTGCAAAGCATGGGCCCCATCATTAAATACTCCAATGCTTTAAACTTTTGTCAAATGCACCACTTTTCAATAAAATCTGTATCCAAAAATAGGTACAATAATGTCCTCTCTTTAGGATACAAAAATGTCAAAAAACACATTTTTGTCCTCTTAATCATTACATTTTTGTATGTCAAACAAATACTCAAAAATCCAAACTGGGGTACGTAAATATCTCGGGTTGGTGTTTGTATCGCAAACAAACAGAACCTTTATATCAGCTGAATAAACATAATTAAATATTCAAATCAGCCCTCTTCGTTGGCCACCACGTGGAAGTTGTTCTCCATTGTGTAGCTTAAGCAACAAGTTGTTGCTTGACAGCTTGAGAGTAGGTTTGCCGATGATACCCAGAAATCCGAGGCTTTACCTTACATTTGATCAAATTATCTCGAATTAATTTGGATGACGTATTTATGTAATTAGATCAATGTACATCCAATTAATAATCGGATCAGATTCCGATTTGACCCATTTGAATCCAATTATATTTATAATATTTATTAATTTTAGTATATAAATTTTATATAATTATATTTCAAATTATAATATATTCTATATATTATATTATATATGACTTTATACATATGATATATTGAGTATGTTATATTTATATTAATTTATTATATATAAAAGTTGAAAAATATTTTTTAACTTTATAAATATTTATAGCAATCAGATTAAATTTGAATTCGATTTGGGCCATTAGGATTCAAATTCGAATTTGAGTCTTTAAACCCTGTTGGATTTCAGATATTCGCAATAGTCGGATCGGATGCGGATTTTGCTACATTCAATCTAAGTCCAATTCAATTACAACCCTACTTGAGAGGGAAACTGTGTAAAATGCAATGAACGAAATTTAACGTGAGAACTCTCAAATGCAATGAACAAACTCATGATTAGACTTGTTCATGGGCAGGGTAGCCTGATGGGGTGGTCCGGCCCGGCCTGTCCTAAGTCGGGCTCGGACAAAATTTTAAGCTTGTAGGCTTGAGCTTAGGCTCTAAAAATTGGGCCTAACTATTTTTCGGGCTGGGCCTAGGCTTTCCTGAATAAACTTGGCTTGATAATTTTAAATATATAATAGAAATATGATATATATATATATATATATAATAGTAAAATTAATAGCAAAAAAGTATTATATATATTAAATGTATAAAATATTATATAATATATAATATATAATTTTTATTATAAAATACATGTCAAAGTCAAGCTTCGAGCTTAATATAGGGTCGGGCTTGGGCTCAAAATCTAGGCTTGATGGTCGGGCCGATCTCGAGCTCGGGCCTGGTAATTTTATGCATGGTTTTCAAACCGTTATTGATTCGGACGGTAGGACCGTTTGGCCTGGGAACCATCCAAGCAATTGGTTCCGTTTTACCCCAAACCAGGTCCTTGGCCAAAAACCATTGAATTGGTCAATGACCCATTGACCTGGGTGGTTGAACCATCAACCTGTTGACCCATTCAATGGTTTTTGGCCATTTTTTATTTTTATTTTTAATTTTTGTTGTTAGAATGAGATGTCAGATGATCGAACCGTCGACCTAGAAACCGGTGACCAGAATGGTTTCGTTTCCAAGCCGTTTTTTAAAACCATGGTTTTATGTTTATAAAAAGGCAAGCCTGACCTAACCCATAAACATGTCTACTCATGATATGTATTTCTACTCATGATGGAATAAACTTTGGAATAAACTATCAATGGGTCGGACCTGACCCAATGGACCCAATGGATTTAAACGAGTGAGTTAGTTTTGGTTCCAAGAACTGAAACCAGCAGATTAGCTCCAGGTCCTGATATAGTGTCCCGATTATTATCGATTTAGAACCGGTTCCACCCAACCCCAAATCGATTCAGACCCAACCTGAGATATATATATATATATATATATATATATAATATAATGTATAATATATATTAAACAAATATATTTATTTATTTATTATAATTGAATCTGTCAAATCAGACCCAATTGTTCCGAGAACTGATCAGCTCAGTTCTAGGTCCTCAATATTTTTTATGTCGGTTCCGGTTCTAGTTGGTCCCATCCCAGACCCGATCCGTTGATAGCCTTAAATAAACTATCGACAGTAATCGGCTAATTGGGAGGTAAAAAAGATGAGAATGGAATAACTATTGGCGGTAATATGCCAATTTAGTGGAAGAAAATATGAGAAAGGAAAGGGAATAAATGTCAACTGTTTGATTACAGAAATATGAAAAATTTATAGAAGAAGAAAAATATCCGGTTCAGTTCGACTAGAAGATGGAAACTGGAAGAAGATGAATGGGTAACGGATGAATTGGCTAACGGATAGGTTACATCTATTGAGTTTTAGATCGGCTAACAGATAGGTTAAACATTTATTTAGTTTTTGAATTTTTAAAGGGAAAATAATTACGTGTGACTTAAGAATATTCGTCGTTTGAACATGGGTGTAGTAAATGCGAATTCACATCTGCGCCCCACGAACGCCCTACAGCGTATCTCCCACCGCTTAGCTTCGGGAGATATTCTAAATACATGCTGAGATGTGCATGTGGGGCGCAAATGTGATCTCAGTAAATGCGCCCAATGCCAAACTGCCAAAATCACCTCCTTGTTACGCACACCGAATCTAACAGCCCACAGTTTTAAGTACATCGTTCCATTCAATCTGCGTGCTAAGTCCTAAACTGGGACAAGGCGAGTTTAGTGTGTAATTCTATAATGTGTTTACGGTTTGGTGGGATAATACTGGGATTCAACCCCAAGCCACAGGGCGAGAGCAGATGGTGCTGTTCTGTTTACATTTTTTTAATGTTGTAATTTGTAACTACTCCATAAAATTCTACGGAGAAATCAGAAGAAATGTAACAGATGGGAAAGGATCGAATCTATATCAATAAATCATGCCCATGATGATCGGATGGTTGTAGACAAAAAGCTGATTAACAAATAGGAATTCGTGACGTCATACAATTACAAGTAAGAAGTAGAGAAGGAAAAGAGAGAGACGGTTAGTTGAAACGAAGGTTAGATGGAGGCATGTACTCTACGGAGCTATCTATCAGACTGTAAGAAGAAAGAAGTTTAGTACTGGCCATTAATATATATAACAACGAGCTCAGTATCCTACTCCACCATTCCTCATAACACTTTTTCGTTTATCTATCACGGTAGCAAACAGACAGCATGGCACCTGCAAAGCCTACAACCTTGACGGATCTGGTGGAGGAAAAGACACTACAGGCGAGATTTGTACGGGACGAAGATGAGCGTCCCAAGGTGGCCTATAATCAGTTCAGCAACGATGTCCCCGTCATATCTCTCGCTGGAATTGACGAAACCGGTGGTCGGAGGGCGGAAATCTGCCAGAAAATAGTGGAGGCATGCGAGAATTGGGGGGTCTTCCAGGTGGTCGACCACGGCGTCGACGCAAATCTTATCTCTGAGATGACTCGCCTCGCTAGGGAGTTCTTCGCCTTGCCTCCCGACGAGAAGCTCCGGTTCGATATGACCGGTGGCAAGAAGGGTGGATTCATCGTCTCTAGTCACCTCCAGGTACGTACCATTTGTATGTAGGCATACGCATACGTACGCTTGTACCCTTCAAAACTACTGTGTCAGGCCCATTCACTCGGTAGATACATCCGAGATGAATACGGAAATTCAAAGTCGTTAGGTTGTCGAAACTTGTGCATCTCAACTAAACCTGGCAATTGGGTTGGGTGGGTCGGGTACTTTGGGTTGATTTCGGGTTGGTTTATCGCTAGACCCTAACATTAAATATTCGAGTTAGGGTTGACCCATGGGTCAATTCGAGTCATCCTAAAAAAATTATAAAAATTAAAAGAATTAATCTTAAAATTCTAAATATAAAATAAAAAATTTGAACATTTAATAATTTAATGAGTAAACAATAAAAAGTAAAGACTAAATAGAAAAAATTAAAGAGTAAAAACTTCTAACAATGTACAAATAATCCCAATTAGACTTAACAATCGGATCAGCGGGTTAACCCATGACTCAACCCAGTTTTTTGAGTCGGGTCAGATTTTTACATTCGAATAGCTAAATATGAGACCCTAACCCTGTTTTTTCGGATTGGGTTGGGTCGGGTTCGCGGGTTGGGTCAATTTTTTGCCATGTCTAATCACAACAAGTCATCAACGTATATCTTTCTTCTCATGTTATTTTTCCACGTGGAAAATCCGAAATATCACCATGCATTGAGATGGTCATTTTCATAGAGCAAACAAAGTTTTTCCGTTTTTATGTGGTACACAAAGTGAATTGGTGGATGATTTGCAGGGAGAAGCAGTCCATGACTGGCGTGAGATTGTGACCTACTTCTCATACCCACTCTGCACTCGGGACTACTCGAGGTGGCCCGACAAGCCGGAGGGATGGAGGGCGGTCACCGAGGTCTACAGTGAGAAGCTCATGGAACTGGCCTGCAAGTTGTTGGGGGTTCTGTCGGAAGCAATGGGCCTTGAAACCGATGCCCTCACCAAGGCTTGTGTGGACATGGACCAAAAGGTGGTTGTAAACTTCTATCCCAAATGCCCACAGCCGGACCTCACTCTCGGCCTCAAGCGACACACAGACCCTGGCACCATTACCCTTCTCCTCCAGGACCAGGTTGGAGGGCTCCAGGCTACTAGAGATGGTGGCAAGACATGGATCACCGTTCAGCCCGTCGAGGGAGCCTTCGTCGTCAACCTTGGCGACCATGGTCACGTAAGTAAAAACAAGGCCCATTAATGAGGAGAATTAAGTGATGATGTACGTAGTAGAATTTAGAAAAGACTTGTCACTTATATACACGTTTCGTTTCGATTGTGTACATGCAGTATCTGAGCAACGGGAGGTTCAGGAACGCCGATCACCAGGCAGTTGTTAACTCCAACTGCAGCCGTCTGTCCATTGCAACATTCCAGAACCCAGCTCCTGAGGCTATTGTGTACCCACTCAAGATCAACGAAGGAGAGAAGCCGGTGCTAGATGAGCCGATCACATTCGCCGAGATGTACCGAAGGAAGATGAGCAAGGATCTCGAGCTTGCTAAGCTCAAGAAGATTGCAAAGGAGCAGAAGACGGAAGAGCTGGAAAAAGCCAAGCAGCAGAACAAACCCCAAGTCATCGAAGAGCTTCTTGCTTAGTTAGTTTGTTACGTGTTAGTTCTTTAGCTGTTCAAAGGGCATGCAACTGCTTATTTTGTTACTCTTCTTAACTACTTTTGTGTTACTCTCTTTTCCGTTTGATCTTTCTCCTTTTGTAATGTCATCCTTGGGAATGATGTATGTTTTGTTGGTTGAGGAATAGTAAATGTCTTTATATTTTCCTTGGTTCAACGATGAGATCAATTAATATATTGGTGAATGTATGATGGCTGATGAAGTCTTTCCTTAAGAAAAGCAGAAAATCTGAGTTCAAAATTCTAGTCGAACTAAAAATTCGTGATAGAGACCCTGAAGCTTAGTTATAGACTTATAGTCCTTCCCCCCATTTGGTTGCAGCTTTGATGATTTGAGTTTTAGTAAAAAGGAAAAACAGGAAACCTGAGCTAGAAACTTAATCAATCTAAATTTCTATGAGAGAAACTTTGAATACCATTGGGTCTAATTAATAACGATCATTAATGTAGGGGTGGGAAAAAAAACCGAAAAATCGTATCGGTCTACGGAAACCAAATCGAAAAATCAGTTAACTGAATCGGTCGGTTTAGTTTCGGTTCGGTGTTTTTAGAAAATCGAAAGTACCAGTTCAGTTTCGGTTAACCAATATAAAATACCGGAGGTTAACTGAACCGATCGGTATACATATATTTTTATATATTTTATATATATTTATGTATATTATATATATTATAAATTAATAAATATACATTATATATAAATATATATTTATAATATATTATATATTATTTATTATTTAAACTATAATATTTTATATATTTATATATATATTTATAATATATATTGTAAAAACTAAAAAACCAAAAGACCGATGAATCAAACTAACGATTAACCAAATCGATCAATCACTTAACCGACTGGTTTTGGTTCGGTTCCAATTACCGGTTTTCCAAAAACCGGTAGTACCGTTCGGTTAAAAAAATGCCCCATGATTCGATTAATCGAATCGTGAACACCCTAGATGTCGTAGACACGTTAGGTAAGTACAATAAGTGAGCACCTAATAGCTGTGTGACGGATGTCCTAGTTAATGCGCCTTTCATTCAAATGTTTTTGTTCCGTTAGACAGAAATTATTCATTATTTTATTATCTTTATCAAAATAATTAAAAATAAAAACAATAAAAAAGAAAAATCTAAACATGTTGGGATTTGTAACTCATTTATGTTTTCTTTTTTCATTATTTTTTATTTTTAATTATTTTGACAAAAATAATAAAATAATGGATAATTTTTGTCCAAAAGAACAAAAACCTATAGATGAAAAGTACATTAACTAGAATATATGTCACACATCTATTACGTTCTCACTCATTGTACTTAACTAACGTGCGTACTACATCCGGACCCGTTTAATAATGCCAAACCTCCTTATCAAGGATGATTTTCAAGTCTATTTGCTTTAGAAAAGTACTCCCAACATTTTTTTCCCATACAATTCAATATTCACAAACCTAAAGAATGAAGGTTATGTTTAGATCCACAAATCACAATACAAATTGCAGCATCCGATCAACACCATTTGCAAGTCTACTAGCACAAGGACTTATTTTATTGACTACAATTGCAGCTTTGATGACGTAAATACCATGTGCATGACTGAAGGATAATTGAAAACATAGATGGAGCAAAATTTCAAATCTCTTTTCTCTCTCTCATTATATGGGAATGTTCTTGTATCAACAACGCCTTATGTTTATCGGTCATTGGCTCAAAATTTGAAGAAGCTGATAATTCTTTTATTGTCTGAAATTTAACCAGTAAATGACGAAAACAATAGGATGATCAGCCTCGGGGTTACCAAAATGAGAGCCTTGCCATCATTCAAGAAAATTTTCACATCCATATGACAAGACAACGCACCAATTGCGTTTTGATTTGTATATTTTTTACTTGGAAGTAGGAGACTCAGCGGTATATGATCCGTTTGGTGACCGGAATCAGAATCACCTATTCTCAATACCTGTTTGGTTCAGTCAGAAATCGGAATCGAATTTTGATTGTTGCTATTTGGTTCAACTAAAAGCTAAAATTAGAATGAGCCACTGGCTGAAATGAAACTTTCAGCCATGTCCATCCACGGGAAAAGAACACAGAACTATCATAAAAGGCATAAATATGAGAAGGCCAGTTCGGCTAAAGGGAGAAATAGATCTTTGGTAATTGTTCGTAGAATGCGGTGAAATTGGGTAGGGATCCGCCAGAAGTTGTTGCTGTTGTCTTTGATGAAGAGATGACGACATTGTGCCTTTTGAGGTGATTACTGCATCCAGGCCAATGTGCACTAGTTCTAAAATGGAGTTACTATAAGCCCAAAAAAACCAGTTCTATTCAGTCTAAATTAAAATGACGAAATCTGTAGAACAAAATCCTGTACGAAGAGCAGCTAAATCCCAGCTTTAATGGGATTGTACCATGAAAACTCGATGCCGACTACAGAATTGGATATCCCTAAACCTCAAAAATTGAATCGGAAAAGAAAGAAAAATCTAGTGCTTCCCGAACAGAGACAAAGAAATTTGGGAAGAATAAAGTAGAGCAAAATTCAAATCATTCTACCTAAAGCATGAGATTGTTTGAGCTTGAGTTGACTTGACCAGATTTGAACTATGGAAACGTGGAACTTCTCCGGATCAGTTACGCACTTGAAGATTTCAGCAGGCAGATTGGAATCCTGTGAGAGAGAGAGAGAATTTATGTATCTATGTCGCGCTAACTGCTAAGAGATCAGAATTTTGTCCAAAGAAACCTAAATAGTGGAATGGGAATGGCATTCTGGGGGAGGGAGTCGGGAATGGCCATTCCTCATTTCCATTCCGGTTGACCAAACATCAGGAAACGGAATGGCCCATTCCCGATTCCAGGGTCCTATTCCCTTGAACCAAACGGACCCTAAGTTCCTTGCATGATTGAGTTTCCAAGTACCTGTCGATCTATACATGCAACAAAATTAAATCATGGAACTTAGAGTACTATAAAAATGTTCAGAATTTCCTATAAAATTAAAGAAAATTAGATTTTGTGCAATATGATTTGAGCACCATATTGAGGTTGAAGAGTTATAAACTTGTAACATTAGATGGGGAGGCTGGCTTCTTTGTGGTGTTTGAAATCCTTTTCTGAACTCTTCTGCGCCTTCACCCCCAACCTTCATGGTCATAGTAGATGAGAATTAGATGAGAATTGTTGGTAATTCTAATTGTACTCCACGTGGGAAAGTGAATTGTCGTAGTTTAACCTTCTTGTAAATAGATATAAGAAGCAAAAATGCCGGTGGGTGCAACCTTAGAACCTGCAATAGAGTTCAGGAACTTTAGAAACCAAATGTAGAATGTCTGGTTTGATTCTTTAAAGTAAAGAAAATTAAGACCCCGTTTGGTTTGTTGGAATAAAGGTCTGGAATCAGATTCGGAATGGGTTATTCAAATTCCACTGTTTGTTGGTTGGGTGGAATGGGAATGTCATTTCCCATCCCTGCCATTTGAGGGAATGATCATTCTCATTCCTATTGATTCTAATTTTCATTTTCATTCTTGTTTGAACTAAACAGACTAGGGAATAGACCATTTCAATTCTAATTCTGAACGATTTTGATTCCAATTTAATTCTAACTACAAACCAAACCAAACGGATCCTAAGAAAATAATTACAATTTTGAGGTGGTTTAATCCATTCTTGCTACCGAAGACTTGCAAGACCTCTTCCTTTGCATGCATTTGCCGGTGTACATGCTTACTCAGCACAATCATGGTCCACACAAACAAATTTAATATTGTTTCTAGCCCTGCAAAGTATAGAATAGCTTGCACTCCACTTTCACTTCCTCAATGTTCATCCCAGCATTATTTTTTTCTTCTAGTGATGCTCTTGGATTTCCCTTTGATTTGATTCTATTAACAAGTTCAGCAAGTCATCCTTATTTGCTTCTCCTAATTTTCGGAGCCATATAATATGATGGGGACATCTGTAAAGAATTTGGGAATTAAACCGTTTCACTTTGGTACTCGATTTCTCACACCTTTCCGGCAAATAATTAATCTCATCAGTTACATGAAGCCATTTTATGTGATTAAGTAAAAGGAGGTCAGTTCTTTTCACGTCTAAGACAGAAATCCAATTTCTAATTGCATGGAATGGAATCTTCTCAATCTGAATTCTATATATAGTGATAAGTAATTTCATTTTCACAGAGTTTCCAAACACCTCCTTAATAATAATCATTCAGATAAAGTCACATGCACACCCTTTGATGAATCAACATAGGCGACTAGGCATTCATATATCAAAAATCGAAATAATTATAAGAAAAAAAAAAAAAAGTTTAAGGCGAAACGAATTACATACTGATGAAATTTTCCGACGAACTGATAAACAATAACATCCCTCGTTAATTAACAAAGTTGGATCGAGGCTTGCCCTTTAAACCTTAATTAATCCTACCCATCCGAAACTCTTAAACCCTTTCTTGCTCGTTTCATGTTTTTTTTCTTTGCGTTCAAATTAAGTTAATAAATTAATAGTTATCAGTTTCTAGCTAATAAAGTCAAAACGTAAAATATAACTCCGGCAATGATTAATCTAAGCTAGCTAGCTAGCACCCGTTCAGTTCAATGTCGTCTTCCCCACCTTATAAATAGACCATCCCTAGCCCCGGAAATTCCACTGCTACATCATAAGTACTTGAGCCCCAACGTAGACAGTCGATAGACATGGCGAGGTTCAATGGTTTCAGCTGGGTGATGTTGGTAGCTTGTGCGGCAATGGCATTGTTGGTTAAACCAACACCAGGATGTGCATCTGGATTCTTGGGACCAGAAGAATGCTCTAAGAAGGTTTCCAGAGGATGCGGGTTAGAGTTATACACTGCTATGTTTGAGGGATCGGGGGTTAACGACCAGTGTTGCCAAGAGCTCGTACAAATAGTTGGGAAAGAATGCCATGACACGATGACTGCAAACCTTGTCAGAGACCCCGTATACGCAGTGAATGCTCCCCATTTCTGGCGACGGAGTGCCCAGATATGGTTTACCTGCGTCGCACGACTGACAGGCCGTATCGCACCTTCACCCTACTAGTTAGTCTGCAAGAAGACCAGCTATCTAGCTAGCAGTACGCAACACGTTTTGTTTCTGCATTACTGAAATAACATTTTCTTCG